TCCTGGGGCTCGGACTCACAAACAGAACTGTGAGATCATCACATGAGCCAAAGTTGGGCGATAACCCACTGAGCCACCCAGGCGCCCCTAGACTATTTCTTCATTTATAAAATGAAGAGTTCAAATCAGTGAATCTTGAACAATTGCATTGGTATCCTTTTCTTTTTTGTTCCCTGCTTATTCCCTAGCCCACTGATTCACTAATGAGTAAATACTTGCCCTGTGTATTATCACAAAATATTCTGTTCAATTCTTCATAGAGGATTACATTCTACTTTCAAGCTGTTTTCCCATTCTACTTTCAAGCTTTTTCTTTTAAAAAGTTTTTAATTGTGATAAAATATATATAACAAAATTTACCATTTTATCAATTTTAAGTTTACAGTTCAGTGGTATTAAGTACATTCTTATTGTTGCATAACCATTACCACCATGCATTTCCAGAACTTCTTCATTTTTCCTAACTGAAACTCTGTACCCATTGAATGATAACTCCCCATTCCCTCCTCCCCCTGTCTTTGAAAGTCTGTTTACAATTCTGTGTAACTTCTGAAATATTTTTCAAATAGAAATGTGGGTACATTACTCAAGGTGGGGGTGGGAATTTTAAAAAATCTTTTTAAAGCAGAAGTAAGTATACATAGCAGCTAGGGGGAGGAAGAGGCGGGAAATCCTGATTTTTAGCATTTGCCAGTTTCCCTGGTGTAAATATTTACACCTTGACCGATTTCAAACTACCAGCATGATGTCATTGAAAGTGGATTTGGAAGGACATGCACAGTAGTAGCATATGATACAGTATTTTCACTATGTACATATGATAGATCTCAAGAGCATATATAATAGTAATATATAGTAAAATAACTAGGAAGTTATGGTTTTTTAGTATGTATTTTTAATAATTTATTTAGTGGTACATTTATAGAATTTAAATTTTAGTTATACCTGTGTTTAACAATTGTGGTTTGCAAACAGTTTTGAAAATTTAGCTGAGTTTATCATATCATTGATTGGAAGCACCCTCTTTGGTATCTTATTAAAATGTAAGTTACTTAAAAGCAGGAACCACTTATTGTTGATACAGTTCGATGATTTTATTTTATATTTTTAAAAAGTTTATTTATTTATTTTGAGAGAGGGAAAGTGCAATAGAGAGAGAATCCCTAGCAGCCTCCATGCTGTCAGCACAGAGCCCGACTTGGGACTCCATCTCACAAATGGAGAGATCATGACTTGAGCTGAAATCAAGAGTTGCACACTTAACCGACTGAGCCACCCAGGTGCCCCATTTTGATGATTTTAATAAATAGTGGACCTCAAGGTATAACAGGAAGCCATAGCTAAAACTGCTGTCTTGAAAAGAAAACATTGTTAAATGGTCTTTGAGATTATGTTGGTTAAACTTTAAGCAGAACTAAAATATCAAATTAAAAACCACCACATCTGTTTAAGAATTTCCATTTCATAAACAAGTTAAAAGTCTCCTAGAGTAAAGATTTTTTTTTTTTTTTTTTTTTTAGTTCCAGTGTAGTTAACCTATAGTTTTATATTACTTTCAGGTGTAAAATACAGTGATTCAACAGTTCCATATATTACTCAGTGCTCATAAAGATAAGGGTACTCTTAATCCCCTTCACATATTTCACCTATCCCCCCACATCCCCTCTGTTTGCTCTCTGTGGTTAAGTGTTTTTTGGTTTCTCTCTGTCTTCCTTTTTCCTTTGTTCATTTTTTTTGTTTCTTAAATAATACATATGAGTGAAATCATACGGTATTTGTCTTTCTCTGACTGGCTTATTTCACTAGATACTCTCTAGCTCTATCTATATTGTTGGAAATGGCTAGATTTCATTCTTTTTAATTGCCCAATAGTATTCCATTATGTATGTGTGTGTATGTGTATATATATCACTTATTCTTTATTCATTTATCAGTGGACACTTGGGCTGATTCCATAGTTTGGCTATTGTAAATAATGCTACAATAAACATCGGGGTGAATATATCTCCTTGAATTAATGTTTTGTATTCTTTGGGTAAATATTCAGTAGTGCAATTACTGGATCGTAAGGTAGTTCTAGTTTTAACTTGTTGAGGAACCTCTATACTATTTTCCACAGTGGCTGCACCAGTTTGCATTCCCACCAAGACTGCATAAGTGTTCCTTTTTCTCTACGTCCTTACCAAACTTGCTGTTTCTTGAGTTTTTTATTTTAGCTATTCTGACAGGTGTGAACTGATCTCTCACTGTGGTTTTGATTTGCATTTCCCTGATGATGAGTGATGTTGAACATCTTTTCATGTGTCTGTTGGCCATCTATATATCTTTGGAGAAATATCTGTTCATGTCTTCTGCCCGTTTTTTGATTGGATTATTTGTTTTTTGGGGGTGTTGAGGTGTGGCAGTTCTTTACATATTTTGGATATTAACCCTTTATCAGATATGTCTTTTGCAATATCTTCTCCCATTCAGTAGGTTGAAAGATTCTGCCTTGAGGTGATCCTGGAGCCACAGATCCCATAATTCTTAGAATTCTGTGATAACTTAAAAGTTTTAGAAACTTTTATTTAAAATTATGCTTTAAGGGTATCTGGCTGGCTCAGTTGGTGGAACATGTGACTCTTGGTCTCAGGGTTGTGAGTTTGAGCCCCACATTGGGTGTAGAGATTACTTAAAAATAAATCTTTTAAAAAATAAAATTATGCTTTAGACTGTTACATAATGCCTTGAACTATATATAAAGCCATGGGAGTGTAGTCTTTTTCAATCATTAAACAAATCAGGTCTTGAATGCTTTGAGTCTTTGTTGATTGGATTTGCCCTCTTCCTTGTCCCTTTCCCTTTCCCCATATTTTCCATCCACATGTTATATAGGTTAGTAATTTTTTTTTTTAATGTAAAGGAAAAGTTAATCCTCAAGCATATTTCAATATGGGAAATTATGCCAGCAGGAATTTTCTTTATATACATACACATATGCATATGTAGTAATTAGTAATCTGCTTAATGAAATCTAATCATTGTACAATTTAATCATGACATCTAATCTGGCAAGTGTATAAGCAAATAAAAAACCTTCATTTTTGGAAAACACTTAAAAATTTTTTTTCAACGTTTAGTTATTTTTAAAAAAAAAAATTTTTTTTTTCAACGTTTATTTATTTTTGGGACAGGGAGAGACAGAGCATAAACGGGGGAGGGTCAGAGAGAGAGGGAGAGAGAATCGGAAACAGGCTCCAGGCTCTGAGCCATCAGCCCAGAGCCTGACGCGGGGCTCGAACTCACGGACCGCAAGATCGTGACCTGGCTGAAGTCGGATGCTTAACCGACTGCGCCACCCAGGCGCACCTCAACGTTTAGTTATTTTTGATAGACAGAGACAGAGTGTGAGTGGGGGAGGGTCAGAGAGAGAAGGAGACAGAATCTGAAGCAGGATTCAGACTCTGAGCTGTCAGCACAGAGCCCAATGTGGGGCTTGAACTCATGAACCATGAGATCATGACTTGAGCCGAAGTCTGACACTTAACTGGTGGACACTTAACCACCCAGGTGCCCCTGAAAAACATTTTAAGTATAGGTTTTAATTAACAACTTCTATATTTGTTTTTCTGATTCATAGCAACTCCCTGCTGTTAGAGATGGAAATCAGATACAGATTCTTAGAAAAAAATTAAAAACAAAAACTGACTTTCTCTTTTTCTTCTATTTCTATTCCAAAAGGTTTCGGTTATAAAGATAGAATTTTGGTAATTACAAAGTATTCCATTCAAATTTAGGTCAATAATGAGAGAAATTATTAGTGATAGAAGCTTTAGTGTATTTCTGATACTCTGTTCAATTTGACACTTCTGACCTTAGAAGCATTTTAACTTCTGAGACCCATTTTATTTTACTCCACATTCCAAAGTAGAAGTCTCAGTTTACCTTTTTTTTTTATAACAAAAATATCTGTACATCATTTCTCATTAGACCTGATGACTACTTTTAACAGTTTTTGTTGGCTTTTGTTCTTTCCACTAAGGCTTCAAAATATGAAGAACCAATCTTTAGTCCAGAGCCTAACCCCTTGGTAAGGTCTGAACCTTCTCCCCAAAGCAGTTTTCTTGGTTGTGGCCTAGGAATGGGAGACTATTCCTGAAAAAAACATGTTTTGCCTTTCATAGTAAACTCAAAGGATCCTGGTTGTTTCCCTGATAAATTCAAGACAGCACATGCTTTAAGATTATGTAAAAGAAGCACAATTTCCAAAAATTAAGAATACTTTATATTTATACCACATTTAGAGATAGACCACTTTTAACACTCTGATCTATATGCTTCCCAACTTTTCTATATGTACGCACACATGTATTTTACAGCCTGTGCTAGTTTTCCCCTTTTTTCTCTCCCTTAGAGATTTACTGCAGATCAAGGACCCATGCTTGGACTCAGGTTCAGTAAACTGGGGTTATTCAGACTACTACTCCTGTACTATATGTAGCCTTTTCTTGTATAATTTATGTCTCTTTAAGGTATCTAATTTTGATCTGTGTGGCAAACACTCGTAGTTCATTGTTTAGTGGGGTTGCAGATGATGGTAACATTGCAGGTATCCCTGAAAATAAATTTGTTGTGTGTTTTAACTTGAACATTTCCTACCAGAGTTAGAAAAACAGTACCTAACTGATGAGAGTGTCACTGATCTTGGGAATTTTGGAAACTGTTGTTAGTTCTTGTGTTAATATGTGACAGTGGTTACTTAGTGTCTTAATTTTAGCTCTAAATCTAAGAGAGATGCATAGAGAAACAACTTTCAAAATGTTAACTAGTTTTTAAATTTTTAATAGAAGCATGGGTATTATAAATGATGGAGGTTTTATATACTTATTTCCATATTTCTAAAATTAGTATATTTCATATTGAAATGCTAAAAAAATGTAAATATAAAAGAATAGTTAACAGTTATCATGTTTATTAGTATGTCTTTTGGTTCACAAAAAATGATTTATGCTGATCTCTAGTTCCAGAAAGCTGACTCTGATCTGGATTACATTCAATACAGGCTGGAATATGAAATCAAGACTAATCATCCTGATACAGCAGGCAAGGTAATCTGCAAAAGAAATATATTTTTAACAGATTATTTTATTAAAAGATTTTCTGATAATATTTCTAATAGCAGTATAATTTAAATTATTAAGTAATAAGTTTATAGAACCTTAAAATATTTTTGTGTTGGAAACTTGATCACAGCATACCAGAGAGATTATACCCATAGTCAAGGAAATTTGTGGCTCTTATTTATTTATTTATTTATTTATTTATTTATTTATTTAGAGAAAGAGAGAGAATCCCACGAGGGCAGAGAGAGTGAAAGAGAGAGAGAGAGAGGGAGAGAGAGAAACCCGAAGCGGGGCTCAAGCTTACCTGGTGCAGGACTCGAGCTCACCTGATATGGGGCTCAAACTCAAGAACTGTGAGACCATGACCTGAGCCAAAGTTGGATGCTTAACTGACTGAGCCACGCAGGTGCCCTGGCTACTTTTTTTTAACCCTTAACCAAGAATTATTGAATCCAAAGGTACCAACTACTGTGGAAGCCTCTGAAATTCTGAGAGTATAGTTATCTCTAGAGTAGTGGTTAAATAAGAAAGGAGAAACCATGGCAGTCACGATACTCTCTGAGAAAGATGATGATGTACTATAAATTTGTTATATGAACTGTGATTTTTGCATAAAATTATGTACTTAGTTATTCTAAGTTTATATTGATTAGAAATATTAACTCTGTTTATATACCATAAAATTATAACTATGTGTCCACATGCCCATGGAGATATAAACAATTATTTTAAAGTAGTTTTTTTTTTTTTTTTAAGTTTATATTTGAGAGAGAGAGAGTGAGAGAGAGAGAGCACAAGTGGGGAATGGGCAGAGAGGGAGAGAGAGAGAATCCCAACCAGGCTTCGTACTACCAGTCAGAGCCCCATGCAGGGCTGGAACCCATGAACCCCGAGATCATGACCTGAGCTGAAGTTGGACGCTTAACCCACTGAGCCACCCAGGCACCCTATGGAGATAGTTTTTAAGCATTGTCTGTTAACATTAATTGACCACTTATAATGTTTCTCTCTGACACCACTTGCCAACAGACAAGAAATATCATATAATTTTGAAAAAAATTTTTATACAATTAGGAATTATTTTGAATTAGGTGGAAGTGCAAATTAAAATAACACTTCTTTTTATTACCCTTCCCCCCCCCCCCCCCAAAAAAAAACCCCATTGTTTTATTGAAGTTAGTTGACACAGAATGTTAACATTAGTTTCAGGTGTACAACATAGTGAGTGGACAACTCTATACATTATGCTATCTATGCTCAACACAACTGTAGTTACCACCATCTCTTAGCATACAACACTATAACAGTATCATTGATTTATATTCCCTATGCTGTACATTTCATCCTGTGACTTATTCATTCCATAACTAGAAGCTTCTACCACCCACTCCCTTCATCCGTTTTGTCCATCCCATCATCCTTCTCCCCTCTGGCAACTGCCAGTTTGTTCTCTGTATTTATTATGGTTTCTGCTTTGTTTGTTTGTTCATTTGTTTTGTTTTATGGTTTCTACATATAAGCAAAATCATATGGTATTTGCCTTTCTCTGTCTGACTTATTTTCACTTAGCATAATACCTTTTTGTCCCAACATGTTGTTCCAAATGACAAGCTCTCATTCGTTTTTATGATTGGGTAATATTCCATCATACATAGATACTACATTTTCTTTATATTCATCTAACACATAGGTTGCTTCTATTTTTTTGCTATTGTAAAGTAATGCTGTGATAAACATAGGTGTGCATGTATCTTTTCCAATTAGCCTTTTTGTTTTCTTTAGTGTGTGTGTGTCTGTGTCTGTGTGTGTATTCTCTTTGGGTAAATACTAAATACTAGTGGAATTAACTGGATCATATGGTATTTTCATTTTCAATTTTCTGAGGAACCTCCATACTATTTTCCACAGTGGCTGCACCAATTTGCATTCCCACTGACAGTGCATAAAAGTTCCGTTTTCTCTACATTCTCATCAACACTTATTATTGTCTTTTTTGGTACTAGCCATTTGATAGGTATAAGGTGTTATTTTGTTGCAGTTTTGATTTGCATTTCTCTGATAATTAGTGATATAGAGCATCTTTTCATGTATCTGTTGGCCATCTGTATGTCTTCTTTGGAAAACTATCTATTTAGGTCCTCTGCCCATTTTTTTGTTTTTGTTTTTGTTTTTGTTATCAAGTTTCTTTATTGCCTTTTTATTTATACCTGTCCCCTGTTTTACCTGTTTTTATCATTAATGACATTGACTTTTTAATTAAAGAATCTAGGCCTGTTGTCTTATAAATTAGTCTGTAATTTTGATTTTTCTGATTATTTATTTGTGAATAGCTTCCGTTTGGATATTTTCATCAGAATACAATAGGTAATGTTGTTAACATCACATTGTATCATATCCAGAGAGATGTTAAGTTTGATAATTTGATTAAGATGTTTCCTGTCATATTCATACATTATTAAAAATACTTTAAGAGTTTGTTGATATCCTGTTCATCCATTGGCTATAGAACCCAGTGATGATATCTGCCTGAATAAATTATATCAGTGATTGCAAAAAAGTGATTTTGTAATTCTCTCACTAATTGTGTATTTTTTACCCAGTATTCTTCTGTGAAAATAAATTTTCACTGTCCCCTCCTTTCTTTCCTTTCCTATGGACTTGGAAACTTGTTTTTGTTCAATATATCAATAACTATTGTAAACACCATTGCTTTTAATACTTCATCTCCTCAAAGTTGTCCAGTGGGGAGGACCCCTCAGTGCCTCCTCAATCAGTCTTTGTGCACTTTTTGGCTTTCTGGTGCATTAAGTCACATTGTACCTTCTATCCAAACCATTACCAATACTTCCTTCAAAGAAATTAGTTCCTTTTACAGGGAAATGATGTTTAGAAAGCAAGAATTGTCCAATTCTCTTGCATATTGGAAAAATCATTTTACTTATGTGAATTTTTCATTTGTCATTTACTTCCCACACTTCTTTTCTGCTGTTTTGTAGTATCTAAAGAAAGGTCATGTGTTAGGCTTTTTTGAATATCATGTTTTTTAATGAGGCTGTTATATTTGGTTATGCAATTTGCTCAAGAATATTGTGCAGGAGGCACTGGTGCTAGTAATTATAGCTTTAATTCCAGCAATCACTTTGAGAATTTTTGAAGCCTGCTGTGTTCCTGTGCCAGTGGGTTATCTTCTTTTTTTTTTTTTTTTAATTTTTTTTTTTCAACGTTTATTTATTTTTGGGACAGAGAGAGACAGAGCATGAACGGGGGAGGGGCAGAGAGAGAGGGAGACACAGAACCGGAAACAGGCTCCAGGCTCTGAGCCATCAGCCCAGAGCCTGACGCGGGGCTCGAACTCACGGACCGCGAGATCGTGACCTGGCTGAAGTCGGACGCTTAACCGACTGTGCCACCCAGGCGCCCCAGAGGAAGAAGATGCTTCAGGCAACAGATGGACATGGCTCAAAGAGAAAGCATGTAGCTAATAAGTCTTCATCTATTTATTGATCTCTGTTCTTCCAACTTTGTTTAGCAGCCTGTTTGTCTGGATTAAGAGTCTATATCAGACAAAATAAAGATGACACCTCTAACTTTTCCTTGCTCTTCTGTAGCAAAGAAGAGGCCCCAACATAGGCATTACCAGCTTTCCCTGTGGCTACCCTCACTCCATTTCTCAGTCTTTCTTTTTATTATTATTATTATTGTTATTATTATTATTATTTTTTAATATGAAATTTATTGTCAAATTGGTTTCCATACAACACCCAGTGCTCATCCCAACAAGGTGCCCTCCTCAGTACCCCTCACCCACCCTCCCCACCCTCCCATCCCCCATCAACCTTCGGTTTGTTCACAGTTTTTAAGAGTCTCTTATGTTTTGGCTCCCTCCCTCTCTAACCTTTTTTTTTTTTTCCTTCCCCTCCACCATAGTGTTCAGTTAAGTTTCTCAGGATCCACATAAGAGTGAAAACATATGGTATCTGTCTTTCTCTGTATGGCTTATTTCACTTAGCATAACACTCTCCAGTTCCGTCCACGTTGCTACAAAAGGCCATATTTCATTCTTTCTCATTGCCAACTAGTATTCCATTGTGTATATAAACCACAATTTCTTTATCCATTCATGAATTGATGGACATTTAGGCTCTTTCCATAATTTGGCTATTGTTGAAAGTGCTGCTATAAACATTGGGGTACAAGTGCCCCTATGCATCAGCACTCCTGTATCCCTTGGGTAAATTCCTAGCAGTGCTATTGCTGGGTCATAGGGTAGATCTATTTTTAATTTTTTGAGGAACCTCCACACTGTTTTCCAGAGCGGCTGTACCAGTTTGCATTCCCACCAACAGTGCAAGAGGGTTCCCGTTTCTCCACATCCTCGCCAGCATCTATAGTCTCCTGATTTGTTCATTTTAGCCACTCTGACTGGCATGGAGTGGTATCTGAGTGTGGTATTGATTTGTATTTCCCTGATGAGGAGCGATGTTGAGCATCTCTTCATGTGCCTGTTGTCCATCTGGATATCTTCTTGAGAGAAGTGTCTATTCATGTTTTCTGCCTATTTCTTCACTGGATTATTTGTTTTTCAGGTGTGGAGTTTGGTGAGTTCTTTTTGATTTTGGATACTAGCCCTTTGTCCGATATGTCATTTGCAAATATCTTTTCCCATTCCGTTGGTTGCCTTTTAGATTTGTTGATTGTTTCCTTTGCATTGCAGGAGCTTTTTATCTTCATGAGGTCCTAATAGTTCATTTTTCTTTCAATTCTCTTGCCTTTGGGGATGTGTCAAGTAAGAAATTGCTGCGGCTGAGGTCAGAGAGGTTTTTTTTCTGCTTTCTCCTCTAGGGTTTTGATGGTTTCCTGTCTCACATTCAGGTCCTTTATCCATTTTGAGTGTTGTCCAGCTCTCCCAGCACCATTTGTTAGAGACTGTCTTTTTTCCATTAGATATTCTTTCCTGCTTTGTCAAAGATTAGTTGGCCATACTT